CCCTCCCCCCCCCCGCCCCGCCCCTTCCTCGTCCCCACATCATATACATCGGAAAATCTGCCGAGGGAAGTGGATGGGAAAGCCGCATGACGTAACGATTACGCCACCTTTATTGCCATTAAGCTTCCATCAACAAGCGTCGGAGCGTGGGTGTAACGTCTCTATGAGGAGACAAATCAGGTTTGGAGCAGTCAAGGCGGACTCTATCATTTTGATCCGAAAGCGGCATTTTTAATGGAAAACGTTTAAACGTGCATTGTACGGACAAAATTGAAAAAACTTAACCTGATATTGCGAAAATTGAGGAGACATGAACCCCGGTCAGCGATTATTTGATGATGCATGCCTCCTCAGAGACATGCCCGCCCTTCGACCCATGCATCGAAGGGCGTGATGATGAACATCGAGCGGAGGTTGGGCAATCGAGACCCCTTTCCAGTTCTCTGAAGGACGCGGGCCGGCTCGCAGACAGCTGGCGCGCGCGGCTGCTCCGGACGTCAGTCAGGTCAACAGCAAGGCTCTAATGTGCTCGTCAGCAGGCAGAGAAAGGCACGAGCCTCGCGCTCCAGCTGGACAACACACTCGGATGGTGAGATGTGAGCCACGTTACTTCGATCATTGTGGCTAAATTTGTAACTTCTGAACATTGGCTATGTGCATGCACCGCTGGTCAACTGGGCCAGCAAACATAGCCAGAAAACACTGGCGCAGCAAAAGATCGTCTGTGGCGCATGTAACACAACTGGCGCGTGGCTACAGAGTCACAGAGAGCATGCTCACTCACCGCCAGTATGTGATTAGGGAGTCACAGACAGCACATGTTCCTCCATGGCCGGCACGTGGCTGGGTCAGACAGACAGTACGCGTTCTCTGATCACCAGCACGTGGCTGGGGATTCAAATGCCGCACACATTCTCTCATTGCCAGGATGTGGCTGAGAAGTCAGTCGCGTCACTCAGAGAGCTTACGTTCCCTCATCGGCAACACGTGACGAAGGAGTCACAGACAGCACACGTGCCCTCATCGCCAAGCATTTGTCCGGTATTGGTTTGGATTTCATCCCCAACCACGAACCCCGCAACCGCCCTCCAATCCGTCTACATGCGCAATAGACATCTCCATTGCCAACAGGCTGGGGATACGGACTGATGGTGCAGATGTGAAGCTCTTTCCCTCTCCTCCTCCCTGAGACCTCTCTCAGACCCTCTCTCCCTGCAACCTGCAGAATCACAAAGTTCAAGGCTGTGCGTCAATATCAGCCGTCGCTACTGCATGCTTCAGGTGTGATCGGAATGTTGCCATGTAATCACCCGAGATTGTTGTTGTCATTGCCGGACTAAGGCGACGGCGATGGAGCGTGTAGCACAATGGGGGCTCCACAAATGGTGGGGCAAAGCAGCACAAAAGATTGGCTCGCGACGTAAATTGATAAGCGCCACGCGTGTCAAGATCGGCACCTTAATAAATGCCATAGTGAGTAGTACGCATGATGGGTACGTTGAAAATACTCACGTCTTAATAAGTGCTCTAGAGTTGGCCTTAGCAGCTGCAGAGGCGTGGCAGGAGGAGACCCCTGATTTTTTTTTTAGTGACTAATACCGCGCCAATAGCCCGAAGAAACGCCGGGAAACACACCTTATTGCATCTAGTAGCCGTTGAATCTCACACGATCTATCTCAAATAAGCGGCAGGTTCAAGGGCGCAGTTTTGAGGCCCTGGGAGAAGAACCTCGGTTTGTTTTCTAATGGGTGCCTTATGCGAAACGCACTCGTCAGGTCACTGACTATCAAGGGTTTCGTTACGCTGACTGGCTTGAGCTAAGCCCATCATTTTTGACTTACAATGTTATAAGACCTCTGTTATCTCCGCATTTGTGTAGTCAAACATCCACCAATTATTTTCGAGTCACTTCACTGTCACCAATATTCACCGAGGGCATTGTCTTTTTGCAGTAATTTTGTCGCGAAACCCAACTTCACGCAGTGCAGCGCATACCAAAGTCCACTATTCCCAATGACTTCAGCGTCCGAACTTGCTACGCATGGTCAGACCCTTCAGTCGGACAGAAAAAAAAACTGGCCGGGCAGCTTTCGAACCATGTGATTTGCGAATTCGGGTGCGAATACTGCTGCACTGAAGTTCTGCCTGCTCGGTACCTATAGAAGACGAATTTTCTGTTCCATCGATCGAGCACATCTATGTGTAATTGCTTCATTGACATACGGTTTGGGGTCATCCACGTAACAATCAATGACAGTGCATGTCTTCTATCACGTGGTCCGTCCCTTGACTGGTAAGGCACCCCTACGGTTGAAAATTTAAAACACTTCACTTGGTAGCCCAACCACCGGAACACTCGTGCAGCCCAGCAACCTTCCCTGGAGGCCATAATGTTCCATATGAGGTCAGCTCATGATCATCGATGCGTGCATTTCACAGCTCTTAATTTTGTATAATTTGGGCATATGATACATGGTGAGTCGGGACATATTCTAGCCGAAATGTTACGTTCACCTAGTCAAAAACTTACATTTCGCGGCCAACTTGGGAAATTCTGGAGCAGTTAAAGTGCAACACTCCGTTACTTTAAGACCTTCATGAGCCAGAGCCGTACGCCAAGACAGAAGTTCAGGAGCTTGGAGAGCGCTGTCATAGCAGGCTGCTGTGCCATATCAAAGTGCCAAGTGCCACATCAAAATAGAAAATGCACAGATAATCAGTTGGATGTTGCATAAACCGAAATCAGATAATAGGAAAGTATCTGTGAGTCAACATATTTAATCATGATTATGATTCATTGATTTATCATCATCATCATGTATATCAATATGTATATGATCATCAAAAAACAATTATAATTATGATATGATTATGATTGATAGTTATTATGATTGGTTACGGTAAAAAGGCAGTTCAAGAAAACATGCATTTGGGTCGCCGTGCATCCATTTGAGAGCAATTGCATTACATTAACTCTTTCGATAATAACCAGAAAATCAGTTGCATGCGTCGAAAAATTAACTTTGCCTACCCCTGCCCATACTTTTTCAAACAGCATGTTGTAGTGCTTTCCAAGTTACGAATTGTGACCAAAGTAGAAACGAAACAGAAAACCATTTTTTCTTAGAAACGCAAACCCGGGGCTTACAGACAAATAGGCCCGTGATGATGGATCCCAAGTCACAGGCAAAACATTACGTCTGTCGCACATTTCTTGAGTAAAACAAGAAATTCTAAAACGGCTGTTATTACAGCACAGAGCCGTGGGAATCTTCTCCACATGACTCATGGCTAGCCGTTGCGGCCGTGGTTAGGCACGTATTCAGGAAACGACGAGTGAACGTGACCAATGTGCAGATATGGAAACAAACCGACCACAAACAGCACGCTTGGCTCAGCGGTGCCAGAAGCCCTACTGAGCGTGTCCCAAGTGTCATGGCCTGGCTTAGCGGGGAAAGCCATTAAATGTCATGAACCGGCTCAGCGGGGAAGCGATCAAACGTCATGATCCGGCTCAGCGGGGCAAGCGATCCTTATCTGCGTGCTAACGTCACTGGCGCGAGCAACTCATCGTTACCATTCACCAGCCGGTACTTGCCGGAAGCCGCCTCATGCCCTCCTTTACCATGCCTGCGTACCTGTCTCTCGGAAATGCACGACTGTCCCAGTGCGACAAGCATGTACACTACCACATGTCAGCATTACCACGAATCACGACAAACTTTAAGTGCTGGTGACTGTATATCATACCGTAACGTACGTTATGGTAAAGTTAATTTAGCTTAACGTGATCGCCAAACCCCATCTTAAGCCAGATCTCGTCCTGTATATTAAGATAATGCAATCCGAGAATGCACTCCGTCACTACGAGAAAACACTACGAATATACTACGTCACTTCGAGAATACACTACGAATACACTGCGTTTGACAACGTCATGTCGTCATGGATAGCCCGACAACCACTTTTGAATGGGATTAGAAGCGATAAACCAGCATCACTTCATTTGAAATCAGCCACGCCTAATCTGCTCGCCACGGAGGGCCGCAGGGGTATGCGACGCATTCGGCAGGCCGCTGCAGGCCCGCGTGGCCGTCTTGAACCGCCGTTCAGCGGACAGGGAGCTGCAGCTGCGTCGCTGCCTTGGCAGAACGGGTCCGGGCTAACGGACGAAGACCTCCAGCGGATGCACGTGGGGGATTTTCCAGCCCTGCTGGCGTAGGGTGCCGCGCTGCGCTATCAAGTGCGATCGTCGCTCAGATGGCAGGCGATTAATGTGTCCAACCGGACTGGTTTTGCTTCACATGTGGAAACTAGAAGCATTAGTGCGTCACGCAGTCAGTCTCTAACGAGGGTTTTGTAATGCTTCGCCCGGCGCAGGGGTTAAATTTTCCGTTCAGTTTGGGGAGGGGCGTCCAGTTCCCCATCTTGGGCTCCAGCCTCTTCCCCTCAACTGTGAGAGGGTAGTGGGCAAATCCAGGGAGAGCCCGTTTGCTGTATTTTGGGGTAGGCTGTGTCATTTTTCATTGTTCCCGCTCATCCCAACTGATTTTGTGAAACTCCGTCCCGATTTGGGACTTGCACTGGCGTGTGCACCTTAATTTCATAACGCAGAAGACCGAATGACAACGAAAACTTTTCTATAAGGCTCGACGCGACCTACTCCACGTTGTGTGCGTCCGGCCAAAATACCCCCCCCCCCCCCCTCCCCTTCCCCGGTGCGAGCCTGCAATGCAGACGGCAGAGCGCAGGCCGGCGGCGCCTCGGCCGGCTAGCAACCGCCCAACCGCCGCCTCGCCGCCCGGCGCACTGCATTTGACCTGACGAATCGCAGTCTAAACGGCGGCGTCTGCAGGGCATCCCGCCGACCGCGCACGCTCCAGGAAGCCGGCGCAGGGGCACCTCCAGGTACAGACAGCCGGGGGAACTCCGACGGCAGTTCTGTTTTCGCCAAGGAGCACCTGCGCTTGACGGCGGGCGTGACGTCACCGGGATTCCAGCGGCGAGTGCGCGCTGTCGCTGGCGCGCGGCGGGCCGGACCGGCCCCCGGGCGTCGCGCGGAGACCATATAAGCAGCCAGGCCGCGCCGGCAGTGCAGTGAAGGTGACAGCGCCCCGGGATGAGCCTGCTTTACGTAAGTGCCGCTGGGGGACGCACGAGCCGCGCCGCGCACGCTGGGGTCCAGGGGGGTCCTCGACGCGCTGAGCAATGACGTGAGGAAGTGTCACGTGATGTGGTGATGCCACACTTGCTGCCTTTACATTGTCTCACGTTCGACAAGTCTCCGTCAAACGATGCTGCATCGCGCAGGCAAGGACCTCGGTTTGGACGCTCACATATTATTTCGCTTTTGCTGCAGGACATAACGCGTTGGAAAGTCGTGTCGTGTTTCGCACTGTGACCGTACCGTAATGGTCTCGTACCTATCAGCCAGGGGTGTCGCTTTCTTAAGTTGGTAAGGGGAGCGGCTGAGCCAATAAGTAGAACTTATCTGCCCCGAAATCCCGATTTGTCATTCGAGTGTCGGTGCTATGATTTGCGTCCCCGCTGTCAAAATTAAAGCTTATAGATTTGGTTGGTTCCGAAAATGTTTTGATTTTGAGGAGTGACTTCCGTTTTAAGTCAATGCCACAGTCATGATGATGGTGATAATGATTCTTTTTGTATGATGCGCTCAGGCGAATTTACCTGGTGTAGCACCCGTTCAGACACTTTTTTCAAAAAATTGATCCGAATCTTTTGAATAGATGGATTTCTGGGATCAGAGCGCACCTCAAGCAGTGTTCGTGTGAGTCCTGACCCCTACCACTCAACCGCGTAATTTCAGCTCAACGGCATAATTTGGTGGCAAAGGTTTAACATGCAGCAATGCTCGCCGCGGTCCGTTCTGCCCTCTGGCGTCATCTGACCTTCAGAGCGGCCGCTTCCACCGGCCGCAGGCGATGCCTGTCAAGGAAAAATAGCGAGCGCCCAAAGCGACTCGAACCCACCCCGGCGCGAGCGGCTGCATCGGAAGGCAGACGTTGGAATGAACTGAGCCCGTGGAACGGACAAAGATGCTGCTTGCTGCATTTCTCTGGGCCAGGATTTCCTCTTTGGCTCATACGCATTAGCGGGGCTTAAAAGAGCACTGAGGAGGCTCAAAAAAAATTGCAAAAAAATTGCAAAAAAGCCCACAATGAAAATTGTGGACTCCAGCCCTCCCTCGAATGTATGCAAAACACCTTTTCTAGTGGGAGTAAATAAAACTAATGTGCTAATGTATGTGCTAATAAAAACTTAATGTGCTAAAGGACCCCTCCCTCATCCCCGTCAGTCCGCATTACGAAAAATGGTGAATCACGTGGGGGATTAATACCCACATCGGTCACAGCTGTTCGTATTGGGCTTTAAGGACCCTCGGGCAGATACGATGAAAAAACAAACGTGAAAAGTAAAAGGATCACCTGTGTGTTGCCAGATAATGATACCCCTTCCACGGACGATGTTTGTTTTGATTTCCGTTGGCGAGTTTCTTACAGACATCGTGACGGCATGCCCACAAAATTTAGCGACCGAAACAGCATGGTATGCTCTAGATATTATCTGCTTACAGGCATCACAAATGCGTGGCGCCTTCCGTTGCCTTTGACACCCGTATTGCAATCCTGGATCTAGACGAACTTGTTTCCCGCGATGCACGCGCCCAGTGTCGGGCCCTCTGCTCGGCGGCCCTTGAAGCTGTAATCTTGCCGCGAGGTAAGCGAGCGAGGCCAAACGTTTTTTCGTACATCGTTCACGCGCGATTGTCGTCTGTTCCGTGTAAATCGGCCGTCCTTGCTGCTGGCACCCCTGTAATTAAGGCACCTCTGTTCTGTTGTGCGGCTTGCTTTACGGATCGATAATTACGCGTAGACTGTTCAAGGCGTGAAAATCTACCGAACATCGCCGCAAAGACGAGGATGGATCCCCGAAATAATGATCTGCGCGTGGATTTGCAAAATGCTTCCAAACTGGCGAGAGCATATCGACAACAATCGTGCTTTTCATGAAGAGAAAAGGCTCATAATCCACCCGGGGCCTCAGGGATGTTTCCAGGCCGCGGGCCTCTGATGTGTGCGGCATTCATGATTACTGATTTGCTGTGCTTTAATTATAATTCAAGTAACCACATGACGTGTTGCTGAAATAAGACAGTTAAGGGATTAAGTTTCATGCAAGTGCAATTGATAATCTGCTGTCGGATTAGTAGCAGATGGAAGGGCACTCACGAGAATAAGCAGAAAAATGCGTGCATAATCATGCCCATGCATAATTGTGCACATGGCATTAAATGGCATTGTTCACAACCACCCCACACATGCACAAGCACTTGCACAGCGCACACGCTTCCTTCGATCCAAGCTCGTGCACTTAAACGCGTGTGTTGTGCATATGTCGATTTTTGCATTCAGCTAAACCAACTTGATGGTGTACCAAAATCGAGATGTGACTAGCCACTATTTGCCGCCTGCAAATTGCAATCGTTTGCGCGAGCGGAAAATCCCACGGGGTTCGGGAGAGGGCGTTTGCGGGCGCGACACCGTCTGCTATCGGGCAGCTGGCGCCTGTTGGGCCGCCGCTGTGTTGAAAGGTCAAATCGGCACCTTAGCTGTTGCGTAGCTAATTCATATCAAATCTGGGCCAATACCACTGTATGTGTATATTGGGGTGTTCGGTATGCATGTTCTCAAATGGGATAGAACAGTTTTGCCGGGATTTGACTGAAGGTTCGCTACTTTCTATCCGTCGCCGTGGTATACAAGACATGATAATGGTCTATGGATAAATGGCAGAAAATCTCTGTACGACTCTCAGCCTGGACCTGTAACTTTCGAAACGTCTTGAAATGTCGAAGCTAACTGAAATTTGTTTTGCCACAAAAGTAAGTGAACCTATGAAAGCATAAAATGAATGCAATTAAACGCAGGACAGTGGCATCTTGCAACAGGAAACTGAAATGCATGGTACCCGCCGACCGTGAGCTCCCCGTGGTACTCGGGCACCGTGCGGCGCTTCCTCAGACGGGCCAGGCGGCGCGGTGTCCAGGTGTCCGCCACTTGGGAGACACTCAGCTCTCGCCGGGCGACGAGACGGCTGAGTGGAATAAAAAGGTGCCAGCTCCCACCCCTGCCAAGGTTGAGCACCGTCCAGAGTGTCACGATCGTGTTCATCGGGCGGCGGACGGGCACACGGAAGCTGCGGACGCTCGCGAGTCTGCCGCAAGCCTTGGCCTTGTTTCTCTCACCGCTTGTTTCCTTACCTCGCTCGAATTCAAGGCACGGTATTTACACGGATGTCGGGGAAATAGCTGACCTCCGAGCGGTCTGGTAGCTGGCCAATGACCACCGGGTGGGTTGTCAATACCGGAAGTTCGCTTCTACATGGACGAACGCTACCCGCAAACCTGCCCCCTTTGACGTCACATGCCCAGACATATTGCGCACTTCTTAGTGGCCCGTTCAAACTGCTGTGGCGGAGTGACTTTGCCGTCACAGGAACTACCTTGGAGCAGGCGTTGGTCGTTATGTAGCGCACCTTTCCCCAATCGATCACACAGCCGCCAGTTTTGGGACTCGTCATCGTCGCTTATGCTCAAGTCGGCGCGATCGAACCTGATGACGTCATATGACGACTGTTAGGCTTTGTGGGGCATCTGTAAGTATGTGGTTGCTCCTTTCTCACGCACAGTTAAGCGAGTAGTGGTGCAAAGATAATCTCCCAGCCCGGCTCGGGGCTTACGGATGGATTAAAGGGACAGTGGATGTGACCGGCCCTCTCCCTCCCTAGGTCACCTGTTTGGCCCTTGTGGCCGGCTGGGCGGCGGCCGACGTGTGCGTGCCGCTCCTGGAGTGCAAGGAGCTGCTGGAGGCGGAGCCCACCGAGAACCCGTTCGCGGCCGGGCGGCTCTGCACGCTCAAGGACGGTTCTGATGGCGTGCTGTGCGGCTCTAGCGATCTCGGCAACAGGTCAGCTCACGCTAGACTCCATGTAACCACTCTGTGCTCACTGGATATCTTACTAGTCTTCCTTACGTTGCGTGCATCTAATTCGATAAGACCTGCCACAGGCTGTCCCCTCGCGTCCAGTGAGGAAAACCTAAGCGTGGTTCAAGCGGTGGATCCCATATTTCGTAAAAAGGCTTCGTCTTCAATGTACTAGCCCTCAGTTAAGCCGGGAAGCATGCCGAGATCGTCTGAGGCGTGCGTTATGACGCTACGGCTTGTCCTTTATCACCAGACTCCTCTCGTCGCTTAACGAGCACGGCGTTGACTGTGGTCGTCGCCTCCTGCAGGTTCGGCAGACCGCAAGCGGCCGCAGCCGCTCCGGGCATTTTCTTCCCGGGGCAAACCAGCAACAGCAAGAACGTGTTTGACGTACAGCCCCTGAAGAACCGCCTCAAGGACCAACAGGAGCTGGTGATCAGCGACGCTGTGCAGGTATATCTCGCCGCCGGGCGGGCTTTTAGCTCATACGCTTCGGCCGTTCTCAAGCCTCGCTCCGTCATGAACTAATTGGGCTGTGGGTTTTGCGGTTAGTGGTAAGTAAATTAAGTCAGAAATATGCTGCGAGTACTGGAGTGGTACCCAGTAAATCAGATCAGTACCGGATGAGATCTATCGTTTTACTAAAGCCTCCCGAGCATTTCAAGACCTATACGATGACTTCCATACAATGGCGCCAGGTGTGTTTTCACCCCCTCACTCTTTTTCCCTGCGTTTCAGAAAGCACCTGTGGTAGTGGAAGCAAAGCAGAGACTGGAGGAGGTGGGGCGGGTGGTGGACCAGCTCGCTCAGAGAGGGGCCAACAGGGCTCGCGCCAGATCACCAGAGAGCCTGCAGCTGTTGTTCTCGCGACCGCAGTCGAGCGAGGCTGAACGGTCGGCAGAGGCATCGCTGCAGTCTGTTGAGGTACTGACGAAGCTGAAGGAGATGCGCGCCGTCGGCTCCAAGGCATTCAGCGCCGAGGCACCACTGTTCGGAGTGGGTCTGCAGGACCGCGCCAACTTCCCCGCCTTCCCCGTTCTCGGCGACGACAAGATTCCCGGCTGCGAGGTGCCCGCGCGCCCCAACTGTGCCGGATCAGGCAACTTCCGCACGTTCAATGGCGAGTGCAACAACCAGGATGAGCCGCGGCTGGGGCGCGCGCAGACGGCCTTCTCGCGTTTCTTCCCGGCCGAGTACGAAGACGGCATATTCAAGCCGCGCTCGTCCGGCCTTGGCGGCCCGCTGCCGTCGGCACGGCTTGTCAGTCAGCGCGTGGCGAACACGTCCCCGCGCGACGACAACTTCCGCACGCTCTCCGTCATGCTGTTTGGCCAGTTCATCAACCACGACATGATTTCAACGGCGGCGTTCACGTTGCCGGGCGGCGGGGGACTGGCTTGTTGCAACAGTGACAACTCGTTCCCCGATGAGCCGCTGCACCCCATCGGCTGCAACCCGATCCGTGTGCCGGACGACGACCCCTTCTACTCGCAGTTCGGCCGCAAGTGCATGAGCCAGGTGCGCTCGCAACCGGCTCCGTTCGAGGACTGTATCGCCGGTCCGACCAACCAGCTGAACCAGGTGTCGCAGTTCCTGGACTCCTCCAACATCTACGGCAGCAGCAAGGAGCAGGCGGACCGGCTTCGTGCTTTCACCGGTGGCCTCATCAAGAGCAGCGACGGCAACCTCCTGCCGCAGGTTGGCGGCCGGTTCATCTCGGGTGAGGGCCGCCTAAGCGAGAACCCTGGGCTGGCCTTCATGCACACCATTTGGACACGCGAGCACAACCGCGTGGCGGCGGTGCTGGCGAGGAATCACCGAGACTGGGACGACGAGCGGCTGTTCCAGGAGGCGCGCCGCATTGTCAACGGCGAGTACCAGAACGTCGTCTACAACGAATACCTGCCCACTGTACTTGGCTTCAAGTACACGCGTGAACATGGTCTCGACCCAGAGTTCGGACATTCCTTCAGCTACTCGGATCAGGTGGACCCGCGCATTACGTCCGAGTTTTCAACAGCCGCCTTCCGCTTCGGACACTCGCAGGTCAGTGTTCCCCCTCGAGCTCGTCTCCCTTCTAGATGCGAGTTTCCGCAAGCCGGATCTGCTGTAGATCCCCCTGGTCGCGTGTGCGTTTTTGGAGCCCGGTCCGTTTCGGACCCTCCTAGTTCAGTGCCCTGTTGCTGTCCGGCCAGCGCCATTAGGTTACTCTTCGGTTGCTGTGGCACGGTGATGACCACCGCGCACCCATTCACCATTCCATGTCTTCCGCTTTCTTGGTGGACAATCACGCACACACACTGCGGCATCACGATCGCACATGCTGGCGGAACGCGCCATCTTGACCGAACGTCATCCGCTTCCACAGGTACAAGACTTGTTCATCCTACGCAGCGAGACAGGCCGCATCTTGAAGACGCTGGCCATGGAGGACACGTTCTTCCGTCCCGACCTACTCACCGGACCGGGTGTTATGGCGCAGTTCGCGCGCTCACTGACGCGCCAGAAGCCGCGCTCGGTCGACAACACCTTCTCCGCCTCTGTGCACGAGAAGCTGTTCGCTCAGGGCGCGCCATCCGGGCTGGATCTGATCGCACTCAACATCAACCGCGGTCGTGACCACGGCCTGCCGACCTACGTCACGGCGCTGGAGAACTGTCTGGAGCGCTCGCTCGACGGAGAGTGGTCTTCCCTGGCGCCGTTCTTCGATCCGAAGGTACTGCAGAGCCTGCAATCGGTCTACAGCAGCATTTTTGACATCGACCTCTTCATCGGTGGTGTGGCCGAGAAGCGAAAGCCCGGTGCACTGGTCGGCGAGGTGTTCCAGTGCATCATCGGCGAGCAATTCTTCGCCACCCGATACGGTGACAGGTAAGGAGAAGATAAGAAGCATCCGTGGCTTGTAGACCCTTGGGTTGGCTTTTAGTGTAATTCGTGCCGTTAGCTCTATGCTGTTGGTTTTCACGTTGAAAGTTCGCTGGCGTCCTTGTACGGTGTGCATTTTATGTCTTGCTAAAACGAAGCCACACCTTTGCGGCATGTAGGTCGCTTAGAGCAATGAAGCATGTTACGGAGTATCTTTGATGAACGCTTATTAAGCGTGGCAATCAGTTGATTTCACCAAGCCGCGTTCCACTTGAGTAGTGATTTCCCTCAATGACCGTCGGATCCCAAAGCAATGGGCAAACAGAACAGCTGTCGTTTTCATTCGCAGTCGCAACAGCTTTTGACCACTTCCGTTCCCGCAGGTTCTTCCACGACAACGGCGACATGCCCAACAGTTTGTCGTTCCAGCAAGTACGCGAGATTCAGCAGTCGAGCTGGGCGCGTATCCTCTGCGACAACATCGAGGACCTGGAGGCGATACAGCCATTGGCGCTGTGGCAGCCCTCCGTCTTCTTCAACAGTCTGCGCGGCTGCAATTCATTCGCCATTCCCCGTGTCGATCTCAACGTGTTCTAGGCGTGCTCAGGCCCCCCGCCCCCCCCCCCCCCCCCGCCCGGGAAGGCGCTGTCTGCCCGCTGGCTCCGGGTTTCCGTCTCGCTGCGCGACGCAATGAGCTGTGACAGGCTCTTACAGTTCAACGGACGCGGCGAGGGGAGTAGAGGAAAATGGAATGACAGCATGGACTACTTCTGACAGCTTTGCGCTGGTGTTGACGTCAGTGTTTCATAAGCACTGACCCTGTCCGTTGGATCCGCCATCAATTCAGGTGACCGGCTTTTATCGAGGTCGCACCTCCTGCGCTAATTCGTAACTTATAAGTGGCTCAGTCGTGGGAACTGTTTGACATTTGTGACCGGAAGATGCCCGTATCAACGACACCGTGGATAACGCACTGTTCGGCCAGCGCTCCCGCTAGCTAGCGTCAGCGCTCGCGCGCTCCTTCAGGGAGACTGCCACTGCGCCAGTGACTGGGTCGGAAAGCCGACTCCATGAGCTCCGTCAGGGCGTGACGTCATCGCTGCCATATCAGCGTGCCTACTCGGTTGATCCGCTGCTGTTAATTTCTCGGACCTTGTGCGTGTGTTATCGTGAGCCATGGCGCACCACGGCAATGGAGAAAAGTCATTCATACTGCGGATAGAGCTTGGCCCGTTTGAGGGGATGTTGCAGTGGTTGTTGGTTCAGAGTATATCATCTCGCGGAGTGAGTCCTTTGTCAGATTGACTTGGATGTGATTTTGTGCTGTGTTGGGACGCATCTACTTGCACTGTGTCTGTAAATATAGTTGTGAATGTTTACGGATTTCTGTGCATCACTGTTTTTATGTAAACCCATTTCGTTCATAGTTTTTATATTTCAAAATTTTCATAAACGTCCCACTGCAATATGAAGAGGCAGTTGCCAGCAGTGGAGTCAGGCGATTAATCCCGTTGTGTTGGAGAACCTCACATAATTGTCGATACGACACCGAGCAGTCGCTATAAAAACGCCACATCCCGAAAAGGCCACCATAAAACGCCAACTATATTTACGTCGCGTTCTTCGCACCAAACTTCAGACATTCGGCTTACATGGCACCGCTAGCTTGGAGGGCACCACCATCAAGTTATCCTGCACGAAGCCGTGGCGAGTAACCGGCTGCAACTAACAGGATCAACGCGTCTCGATATTTTTGGAATAACTTTTGAATGTTCGGATGCATTCATGAGACCAACAAGAAGCTAGCAACTTCTGAAAACATTCCATTGTACCGGTAACGCAAAAGGAAGAATCTCATGTATTGCTGAACATTAAAACTGCGGACAGACTGGCGCACGGCTACCAACACAACAGATATTACGTGGCGTCTCTCCAAGCACGAGGTAATTCGCGTTGATATGGCCGGGCAAGAATCCGAGAATGCGCACTAGTTTTTGAAAGCGTCGACCTACAGAGTGCCATAGCTTTGCAGATTATAGCTCAATGGATGAACCGGTTTAATTTTGTTGTTGACTGGTGTTTTCGGGCGCGTCTACTGCAATGGTCGTTTTGCGCCCATAACGATGTTTTTGCTTAATTAGTACGGTGTGAAAATGACTTGAAAATAAATATCTATTAAGAGCGAAAAGAGCTGTTTGGAATCAAGAAAGGAGGAACTGTCACCGGGCACATCGCTGATCGTCAGGGGTGAAGCCTGCTGACCAAAGTGACGTCGTCGTTCTTCGATGAGGCACGGACATGATACAATGACATGGTGGACAGTGAGGACGGCACCACACAGCTGGCATAGGGGTCTGTCCGCTCCATGCAACAGATGGCCATGGGTGGCAGACGTATGCCCAATACCCAACCCGCATAAAGCCACTTCTTCCCACCGCACACTGTGAGAGCATGACGACCACAAGCTTAACTCGGTTTTTATCGTCCTGAGCCTATTGCCACCCACCTGGTCCCAACAACGCTGCAGTTTGCTTCTCAGGAAGGTCTTGACTGCCGGGTAGAAATATTTGGCAGGGATAGGCAAAAACCGGGTATATGGTTCCGCCGCTGCTCGCTTAGCAGCGGCATCAGCCAACTCGTTGCCCACGACACCGACGTGACTGGGGATCCAGCGCCGGGCACCTCTCTTTCCAACACGATTCAACTGTGTCAGGCGTGATAAAATGTCCTGCATTAGGTGGCATGATGAATAAAAAGACTCCAGTGCAGAGATACTGCTCAGTGAACCTGTAAAAATGGCGTGTGAAGATTCTTCACCAACTTCTATGAAACATATCGCCTTAGTAATCGCAATTAATTCCGCTGTGAAAACTGACGAATGGGTCGGTAACGAGAACGATCGAGTGACAGAACCGCTGACGAAAGCACAACCCACGCCATCCGCGGTTTTGGATCCGTCTGTGTACGTCAGAGTGTATCCTTCATAACACGCCAGAAGCTCAAATGTCCTGGATCTCATTAGGTGTGGTGTGACGTCTTTTTTCCTAATTTCCGTCAGCGAGGTGTCAATGAAGGCTATGGTCACTTGCCAAGGAGGAGACGCCAGGTGGCTTACTTGCTTTACACCTCGAAGAGGAATTCCGATCTCGAGCAATAAGGCTCTCATTCGGAACCCAAAAGTTAAAACGTGCTGCTGCGGCCCATGACGAAGGGAACTCAAGGCAAACCGAGAAAATACTGCAGAATATCTCGGATGAAGTGTGAACTGCCGCATCTTCCAGGCATGACGCATACCGAGCATTTTCCTCCTCGTCGAAAGTGGTGGCTGGTGTGCCTTCGTTAAAAGGCTGACGGAAGGTGATGTGCGGAACGCCTAATAACAATGCGAATGGTAGTGTGGTGGACGGTATCAAAAACACGCATGCTGGATTCAGACGCGCCATCATACACAAAGCATGCATAATCCAGTTTGGAGCGGACGAGTGAACGATGTAAAAGCATAGGCGTGCTTCTGTCTGCCCTACTTGATGTGCGAGACACACACTTTAGTATGTTGAGAGATTTAAAGCAGCGATCGCGTAACATTTTAAAATGTGCATATGTAAGACGGCGGTCAAAGTGTATCCCAAGGTACCTCGTCACGGTCTTATTTGGAATAGAGCGACCATATAGACGGATGCTCAGGTCATCACACCGCTGGCGGCGACAAAAATGCATCGCAACGGTCTTGTCGCCTGAGAAACAAAACCCGTTCATGTCACCCCATCTTTCAACGCGGTCCACAGCCAGCTGGAGGCGTTGCTCCATCGCTGGTGCCCTCGCTGCACTGGTCCAAATAGCAAAATCGTCAACAAAAAGGGCACGTCTTACCCACTCGGGGAGCACATCACAAACATAATTTATCATAACTGCGAACAGCGCTGCACTTAACACGCCACCCTGGGGCACGCCGTTTATTTGTTAGTACCTATTGGAGAGGACGTTGCCGACCCGAACACGGAAATATCGTTTGGCTAAAAGCCTTTGGAGAAAAGTACCCATATGGCCACGTGTACCATATTTAAAAAGCTTTTGAAGAATACCACGACGCCATGTGGTGTCATAGGCGGCTTCAATGTCAAAGAACACTGTCCCTATATGCGCTTTCTCTTGAAAAGCCTTACGAACCGCAGTGTCCAAAGCCAAAAGGTGGTCCACCGTACTACGGTTTTTCCTAAACCCGCACTGCGAGTTGCTAAAAATATTGTTCTCCTCCAAAAACCAAGTGAGTCGAACGTTAACCTTCCTTTCCATGAGCTTGGACAGTGATGACGTCAGTGAAATGGGTCGGTAATGAAGAGGGTCCATCCCACTCTTTCCCGGCTTTAGAATAGGTACCACAACAGCCTCCGGCCAGGCCGGAGGGAATTCCCCACTTGACCACACCCTGCTGAGGGCCGCCAATAGTACACGACGTGCACGCGGTGGCAGATGTCGGAGCACCTCATCGTGGATGTCATCAAGACCTTCCGATACACTACGAAGCTTTGCGATTGCCGACTCCAACTCCACCAAAGTGAGGGGCTCATTGTACGCATGTGGTTGCCTTGTGAAAAAGTCCACCACGATTTTTTGGCATTGTGCTCTCTGCTGTAAGAACTGTGGGCTCGTGTTTGCACCTTTGCTACGGTCGGAGAGTGCTCGGGCGATCTCGTTGGCCACATCCAACGGATGAGTCACCACCTGGCCGTTAACATGTAGCACAGGAAGTGGCAGGGATGAAAACTGCCCCGAGATGCGTTTGATCCGAGCCCAAACCTGCGAAGTTGGAGTGAATCGGTTGAGCGTGCTTACATACACACTCCAGGTTTCACGTTTCGCTTCTTTTATCGTGCGACGGGCGAAAGCTCTCGCCTTCTTAAAAAGCTACTACATTCTCCAGTCTATTTCTGGCGTCGGAAGCTCGGAAAGCACGTTTGCGAGCGCGAATTGCGTCACGACACTTCTCTGTCCACCACGGGACAGGAGTGCGACGGGGAAATCCAGAAGTGCGCAGGATGTAATCGCTAGCGCAATCTAGAAGTCGGTGAGTAAAATCCTCAATAGGGGGTGTCGCCCTCTCCCTTCCGGTTTGACACAATGTCTCCAGTCGAGCCTCAAACTCACTCCAGTCAGCCTTTTTTAAATTCCAACGTCGTGGTCTTACACCCAACGTTCCCCTTATTTGGAAGTCAAAGCCACATTGGGAAGTGATCGTTGCCCATTAGATCATCTGCCACAGACCACTCGAGGCTCTCCACCAGCTCGGGACTAGAAAGACTCAAGTCAAGAGCGGAAGTCTAACCAAACGGAAGTGTAAAATGAGTACGAGTCCCCGTGTTTAAAATACACAGTGACAAGTCATGGATAAAATGTTCGCAAATCCTTCCGCGGGTGCTCGTGCTATCACAGCCCCACGCAGTGTGATGAGCGTTGAAGTCACCGAAAAGAAGAAATGGTGAAGGGCAACTCACGCACCTAAACGTCTCATCTCTTTCAATGGAAAAGCGACGCCAGGTGGAAGATATAAAGAACACACCGGGATGAAACGGTGATTAAAATGTAGGCGTGCGGCTACAGACTGTAGCGTGCACCGCAGGCTCAACCTCCTGGCTGGCACGCTGTGGTGGACTGCAAGGAGGACACCGCCGTGTGCGATACCGTTCGGTTAACACATCGTTGCGACACAGGGCGTATCCCTTCAGCGTGCAGTGGTGATTAGAAGCCAGCTTGGTCTCTTGCAGCGCTACGGCCGCAGGACAGTGCTTGCTGACGACAGCCTGGAGGTCGAGGGCATTCGCCCTTATTCCTCTACAGTTCCACTGTAAAAAGGCCTGCAAAGGGGACGTGTTAAAAGGCGGCTGGAGGTCACATACTAGAACTGGATACGTCCTAAAAGAACTGGGCTGCGCCAGTTGTAGGAGCAGGCGTTTCAGAAGGAGAGCCACGGCTCGATTCTGAGGGAACGTGCCCCACTCTGGGACGAATCCTGGGGCTCCCTCCGTCAGATGGAGACGGGGGACCGGCCGGGGCACGCTTCACGCCAGCGTACCCAGTCCGGGGTGGCGGCGGGGGGGGGGGCCATCGGCGGGCCTGTACCGGGCGTCTAGGGGTCAGCGGGGCCTCCACTGGCCTTCTGGGCGATGGTGTACCACTGCGAGGGGCGGGCTCCTTGCTCGAACCGGACAAACGATTGACCGTCTTAGCCCTCTCCAACTCGGCCAAGCGGGCCCGCTTGGCGTCGCGGGTGCGCCTGTCTGCCTCGTGCCGTTCCATCGTTTCCGCTGCCCGTCCACACGCACTCGCCAGTGTCACCGGAGGCGACGAGGGCAGCGGAACGCCAGACGGCGAGGACGGCCGAGCCCGCGGGCCATGGCCGCGCTTGACCACGGTCCATCCCTCCTCCTGCCCCGCTAGCGACCCCGACGACACCTGAGGGGCCGGTGGCACATCGTTGGTCGAGCAGGACGCAGCTGAAGGACCTGGAGGATCCGACTGGGCGGGAGTCAATCGTCCCGCCGGCACCACATGCAAACCGAAGGATCGCAGGAGCGCGATGAATTGGACCGCTGGCATGTGATTGATGCTGGTGGACTGTAGTACAGGGGTTTTGGACTTTTCAGCACAAGATACTTTGGGGTGATTAGCCTCATACTGTTCACGCGCCTCGCGGAAGGAGATGTTCTTTGAGGTTTTCAGTGAGATAACTTCCTTTTCCTTCATGAAGGCTGGACAACTTCGATCGAAAGTTGTGCGCGGTACCTGCCTCGCGCCACAGTTCACGCACCAGGGCTGCACAGAAGTATACTGGTCTTCTGACTGCTCGTAAGATGCACATTTCTCACAGACAGCTCGATTGCGGCAGTGTGGTTTTGTGTGACCAAAGCGCTGGCATTGAAAACATCGCATCGGATTCGGAACGAAGACTCTGACGTTGACAACGGCGTAGCCAATGCGGATATCAGACGGTAGATCAGGCGGGTTAAATGTCAGTATAATGTTGTTTGTTGGCATTTGGTCATCACCCCTCCTGGTCGTGATCCTGCGCGCTGCGGTGACCCCAAAGATTCCCAACTCTTCGATGATTTCCTCCTCGCTGACGTCACGAAGGTCATAGCAGTTTATGATACCTTTTGAGAAATTTGTCTTGTGGTGCGGTGTGACCGTGACTGGCACGCTCACGTCTCGTTTTCCACCCTCGGTTCTCGCGGCGCAAACAAATTCAGTGGCTGCCATAGCTCGAGCCGCATCGGTGCCGTTTGCGAATTCCACCTCGATCGCACCATCTATCAGCTTATCACAGCGGGTGACTTTTGCAAGCATGTCGCATCCGTTTCAGCGCTGAAACGGTGAAAGCGATGCTAGGTTCTTCACATCACTCCGGAAGACAAGAACGCGTGGGGCAGGTGGAACTGACTCTTCACTGCGCCCCAAGTTCATCGCAGTCCGTCCCCCTCTCGGGGGGCAGGTGTTTTTGGGGTTTGTAGATGTCATGTAGTCCAATTGCTAATTTCGACACCTGGGCTCCCAACCCACCTCGGAACTCAACTGGGGGACGGCCCACTCACCCAGGTGGTGGTGGTGCCGTCAGAGCTACCCCGGTGCTATACGGGGCGAACGACGTCTTCCACACGGCCAGGTGTAACGGGGGAGACCCTTCCCCGTCCCGACCGTGGTTCAGCGCCGCCGCCCCTTGACCCCTTAAGCCGCTGCGCGCGGCCAGGCGCCCAGAGCGGAAACCCGCAAGGAGCACCCAACCGCCACGCGAGCGACAAGCCGCTAGACCCGTGTAGGGCCCCGCGGGCCCCCCACGCCCCCGGATATCCTGGCCAAAGTGGAGTGATGGGACGCCCCGTGACTGACCCGCACGGCGCGCCCCTCAGCCACCAGAATCCGATTTACCCGGGGGCGTGGCGAGGGGGCGTGGTCGGCGACCCCGATAAAGCGAAGATGAGGAGTGGTAATATGGCCGGATGTGGGAGTGCGAGTAGTGTGGAGGGAGCGGGCGGGACAAGGAGCCGGAGCTCACGTACCGGCAGGTTCGCTACGCCCTGGGAGGAACAGCTTGCGCTCTCCACCCGTTACCGGAGCTGGGACCCGAGGGGGCACTAGTCCCCTACACCGACCGAAGCTGGTGCCCCTGCGGGGTAGGACCAGTTTAAGAAAGTGCAAACAAGCACCTTGGACAAATTTCGTACAGGGGCGTGAAGGCGCGCGCATGCTCGGCTGACGTCGAGCGCCGAGCAGAGAAGACGATCTCGGAACAGCAATCAGCGTTACATTCAAAACACTGGCGACCGCGTCAGCGCCAGAAGGCCACCAGAAGATCGGCGTTGAACCAGCTTGGCTTTTGAAAGGTGTGCTACCTATTGAATGGGTAGAACACGTGGTGCGCAGGATGTGCTCGGTCAGTGCGAGTCAAGCCACCAACAAATCTACCAAAGCTACAAAAGCAAAGCTACCAAATATCAAGTAATCAAGCACTCAGCAACTATCGTTAAAAAGTTCATGTGCATTTCTATGACCTGCCGACCAAAAGTGGAAGTAAGGAGTGAAAGAAGTTGGCGAGAGTCTTGACTCGGCCCAGGCCCAGAGCCATTGGTTAGATGGCCATGTGTAGACATAGCTTTCTTCGAGCGGGACTGCTTCGTCAGCAACGGCTTCCTTCTTAGGGGTGAAACAGTCAACTTCACAAGCTACGCACCAGCACTGAAAAAGATGATGATGGGCGGAACCAAAAAATGATCATCCAAAGCGTGGCTTCATATTTAAATCAAGCCCCTCCACACCACGACTGCACGAAAACACCACTACGACAACATAATGCACGAGACGACGAAATTTTTGAGAATATGTGGGGTGTTCACGACCAGGCAGCTACCCTATTCGCCTGATCTGGCTGCTGCCGGCTTCATAAAGCAGTTGTTCGACACCGAGGAACTGAAGCAGGTAATGCACCTCGTGGTCAAGGATACTGGTAAAGAAGAGCTCGGTGTGGCGTTCAGGGCTTGGATGCCATTACCTCGACTTGTGGACGGCCTGATGGCGAATATGATCCAGCTTAACGTATGAGATTGTTAGCGCCTTTAGTCATGAACTGATGCACTTGTTTAGCAATTCAGGAAACTGATAGCCACCGGCAGCCGCGAGAGTCGAATCTTGACGCAAGGATATTGTATGTTAATGCCATTACTACCTGGACCATGCACGGACACGTGCGCTTTGATTCCACGTGCTACAACCGACTATACGATCAAGTTGGTTTGTTCCACACGATACGAGCTTATAAATAAGTTTCGACGCGACAAGCTTGACGTTGCGTGCGTCCACCTAACAGGAAATGTTCTGCCCCCCCCTACCCCCCCCCCCCCCACCACCCCACCCCTACCCCCCCCCCCCACCCACCCCCACACACACACACACTTTACGGGCTTGCAGTGCTGAGACAGAGCTCAGGCCAGCGGCGCCCGACGTATAACTTGACAGACAGCAAAACTGAGGTCAGCACGCCGGCGTTTACCCTGACAGACAGCACAGCACAGGCCAGCGGCGCCGGCGTTAACCCTGACAGACGGCACAGCACAGGCCAGCGGCGCCGGCGTTCACCCTGACAGACAGCACAGGCCAGCGGCGCCCGGCGTTTACCCTGACAGGCGGCACAGCACAGGCCAGCGGCGCCGGCGTTTACCCTGACAGATAGCACAGGCCAGCAGCGCCCGATGTTTAACCTGACAGACAGCGGAGCACAGGCCAGTGGCGCCCGGCGTTTAACCTGACAGGCAGCACAGCACAGGCCAGCGGTGCCCGGCGTTTAGCCTGACATGCAGCACAGCACAGAACAGTGACGCCTAGCCTTTGACCCGACGAAGCGGTGTCTGAACGCCGGCGTCTGCAGGATCTGCGGTCTGTGGTCTGCGTTTGTGGGCCCCAAGCACTCCCGTAAATCCGGCGGAGTACAGCCGCCCGGTGGAAGCCCGACGTCAGTTCTGCTTCCGTCACGAGCACCTGCGCATGACGTCAGGTGGGACGTCACCGGGATTCCAGCGGTGGAGGGACCGACCAGTCCCCATGGCAGTCCACCGAGGTGATATAAGGGGCTGGATCGGACCGCCCATGCAGTGGAGCCGGCAGTGCCCTGGGATGAACGTGCTTTACGTAAGTGCCGTTGGGGAATGGCGGAGCCGCTCCGCGGTCGCTCGGCTTCAGGGAGGAGTCACTCTTCGCGCTGAACCGCGACGTGTAGAAGTGTTGCCTAAAATGTGTTGCTTTGGTGTCTTTTGAGCGCTTCGGCTACGCGATCATGTAACACCTGTAGGATGTGTCTTAATCAAAGATGTTAGAACTTCCCAAACGGGCTGTTGCCGGGCGTTCATTACTTTGGTAAGTGGACATAACGAACCAAAGTTAACCTTTGCTCTAACAGCGGAGGGGGGGGGGGGTATTGCGACACCCCTTAGGTATTCCGGAGATCACCCCCCCCCCCCCCGGCAATCTTGCAATCGTGCGCAAATTTTCGGTAGCTCGTGAGACCATCCATTTCGCATGTTTTCACATCAACAAAAACATATTGCTGGCTTTTCTTATTTCAAGGAAGTGGGCTCTTTTTAGAAACACTGTACAGCGATCCGCGGGTGGCGCGGGAGGCGGGGGGCGAATGACGAATCCGCCGGCCGCGTGCGGCGGGACGACCCTGTTACATTAACGGAGCCATACACCAGACGTGCATACTCGAAACCCGGTCAAGTGACATACCAGTGTACTTAGGATTGACTCAGGAACAGGCCTGTATATGTTTCGTGTCACTTTAAGGCATGGTGACGTACGTATAAGCAAGTGGATCTAAAGAAGGTCGATTTTCAGGAAAATTTGACCTTCCGCCCGGGAAAATGACATGAGCTGTTGACCTAGCAGCACTCAGCTTTCTGCCAGGCGCGCAAATCTGTTGAGAACAACTTACTGGTGATTTCCGCTAGTCGCTATCTTTCTTAGTCCGGAAAAAGCAGAGGTCCCATCGAACCACGTTCTATATGGCAAAGTCGTTGACAGAGAGGGATGGGCAGCTGGATTGTGGAAGTTAAACTTCTACGCCATTGATGATGATAAGAAATAATGTCATGCTTAAAACACTTCCTTGCAGCATTCCATCCGCCTATAAAAAAACGATCTGTGAGGTGGTGGCAAACTCTTGCGTAAACAAGACGTTCCGACGAAAACCTCTAAAAAGGTTTCCATGACAACACAAATACGCTGTTTCGAGACCTTCATTAGAAAGCCGCAGCGCCAGGTGGAGTCATAATCCTTTTCAATGTCGAAGAAAATTGTCTCTAAGTGGAGGCGCTCTTTAAACGCAGTGTGTATAACAGTGTCAAGTGATACAAGTTAGTCCTCTGTGCTGCGGTTTGTTCTAAAGGCGTAGTAAATACTGCTCAGAATACTTTTCTGCTCGTAATACTACGGCAATAGGACAGCTGCCACTTTTCCATTTATTTACATGCCAACCACATAAGAGAGATGGGCCTATAATCTCGCTTTGTAAGACTCGTACTGGCATGCGTTTCTAGTCGTGTTCTGTATTTGTATATGCGCAATGGTCACAGTACATGGGCTTAAAAGACCTTTGGATAGATATAATGGAAAAACGAACATGATAACGTATGCGCTCACCAAGCGCAACATTATACGTCCTGCCTCGTGGAGATGTATTATCACAAGATAATGCTATCTTCGCACCTTCGAGATTGGTTTTGGTTCTTGTCAACGAGCATCGTACATTTATCGGGTATCCAGCTACACAATTTACCGACCGAAGTATCGTCATATAAGTCAGATATCACGGGTGTGCAAGCTTTACGAGTGCGCGGCGCCTTCCTTTGTCTTTGAGACCCGTATTGCGATCCTTGATCTCGGCGAATTGGCATTCCGCGGTGTATACACCCCGTGTCGGGCCCTCCGCCCGGCGGCCCTCCAAGCCACAATCCCGTCACGGGCTTAGCTGGTTGCTGCCACGCCAGGATGCCGCGAAGGCGGCTTTGCTGGGGACAGACAGTGAAGGCATGTTACATGCAGGATGGCGTTCGAGCACCTCACCTCACTTATGATCTGACCTCACGAGTGACCTCACCTCACGTAGGACCTCGCCTAACCAAGATCTCACCTCACGTATGACCTCACGTGATCGGCTTCGGCGGCGACACCCAGTCCCCGGCAATCGCTGGCCGTGTCGCCTGGCTGCTGCACCGTCCGTCCCGGCCGCTGCCCCGTGCACCCGGCCGCTGCAATGTCCGTACCGGCCGCTGCCCCGTGCACCACGGCCGCTGCTACGTCCGCCCCGTCTGCTGCTCCGTCCGGTTCAGCCGCTGATCTGTCCTACTCGGCCGCCGCCCTGTTCGCCCCGGCCGCTGCTACGTCCGCCCTGGCCGCTGTTACGTCTGCCCCGTCTGCTGCTCCGTCCGCTTCGGCCGCTGCTCCGTCCTACTCGGCCGCCGCCCCTGTCCGCCCTGGCCGCTGCTACATCCGCCCTGGCCGCTGTTACGTCTGCCCCGTCCGCTGCTCCGTCCGCTTCGGCCGCTGCTCCGTCCTACTCGGCCGCCGCCCCTGTCCGCCCTGGCCGCTGCTACATCCGCCCTGGCCGCTGTTACGTCTGCCCCGTCCGCTGCTCCGTCCGCTCCGGTCGCTGCCCCGTTCGCCCCGGCCGCTGCTACGCCCGTCCCAACCGCTACTACGTCCGCCCCGGGCGCTGCTACGTCCGCCCTGCCCGCTACTCCGTCCTATCCGGCCGCCACCCTACCGCCCCGGCCGCTGCTACGCCCGCCCCGGCCACTGCTACGTCCGCCCTGGGCGCTGCTACGTCCGCCCCGTCCGTTGCTCCGTCCGCTCTGACCGCCGCCCCGTCCGCCCCGTCCGCTGCTCCGTCTGTTCCGACCTCTGCCCCGTCTGCCCCGACCGCTGCCCCGTCTGCCCCGGCCGCTGCCCCGTCTGCCTCGACCGCTGCCCCGTCTGCCCCGGCCGCAGTCTCGTCAGCCGGCGCCGTGTACATCACAGGACACGGGCTGTTGGACGTTGGGACACGGAATGCTACGTTCCGCTGGCTTTGAATAGACACAAACAGTTTTTGAACGCCGCTCACATACGATCGTTGTTTATTCCGTGCAAGGCAGCCGTCCCAAGTGCTGGTAGCCTGTTGGTAGTCCCAACTGTTGGTAGTCCCAACTGCAAAGCAGCCGTCCCAACTGCTGGTAGTCCTTCGGTTACAGCACCTCCGTGCTCTTGTACTGCTTGCTGTACGGATCAATGAGCGTGTCTAGACGGCTGAAGGGCGGGGAAATCCACTCAGCATCGCACCTAATGCGAAGATAGGATCTCCGCAAGAGGGATATGTTGCACGAGTTAACCAAATGCCTCCAAAACGGTGAGAGAAACATCGAAGACAGTTGCACTTGCATGACGCAAGGGTTCCGCAAGTAGCCCGCAGCTTGAGGGGTGTCAGCATGCCGCACGCCCCTGCTTCGCGCAGTATTCACAAGGATGGATTTGCTGTGCTTTGATAACTCAAGTATCTACATCTTGTGTTGTTGACATAAGCCATTTATGTGATTTAGTTTCGTACAAGTGCAACTGAATGTCTATTGTCGCATTTGTGGCGGAAGGAATGGCGCCCCCAAGACATAAAAATGCCTGCATAGCGATCCACTTGCACGTCATATCAGCTTGAATGTCTCACAACCACCTCACGCACACACTCACGTCCAGTGAAGACGTTTTACTTCAACCTTGGATCGTATGCCAGAGCAGCCGTCCCAACTGCTGGTAGTCCTTCGGTTACAGCACCTCCGTGCTCTTGTACTGCTTGCTGTACGGATCAATGAGCGTGTCTAGACGGCTGAAGGGCGGACGGCTATTGCGCAGCACGTGATTTTTTGGTCATATCAAATGACCTTGATGATCGGTCAAGGGTGAAGCTCGTGGTCATTCATGACTAGCATGCTTAGCCGCCAGGAAGCTTTAACCATTTGACGTCACCGCTGGTGAAAACACCAGGGGGTTCAGGAGAAACCGTTTGCAGACGTGGAACTGTCTGTTGTCGGGCAGCTGGCGTCGGCTGGGTGGGCGCTGTGCTGAAACGGTGGAGTTGGTATCTCAGTTGTTCCGACTTAAATCTGGATCAGATGATCTCCCTCATGGCAGGGCATATATATATATATATATATATATATATATATATATATATATATATATATATATATATATATATGTCCTGTTATGTGTGTAGATGAAAAGTGCATGTGTAGATGTGTAGATGAATAGAAATGAGTCTCTATGCTAGTCTTAGCCTGGAGTTGAAGTTCTCAAAACGCCCTGAAGAACAGGGCAGTGTGAATCATGCCGCCTGCAACTGAAATGGGTCCATTGTGCTAACGGTGAGCGCCTCACGATGGTCGTTTATCGTGCGACGCTTATTCAGGTGGACCAATTCGCGGCAGGCCACCAATGCCAGGGTCGAATGCCGTTGAGAGTGTTGGCATCGTGTTCAGAAAGCGGCGCCAGGGCTTCGGACACGAGCAATTAAAGACTCGCGCGGGTTTGCCCATCACTTGTCCTTGTCTCACGACCAAGTCTTCCCAGAACTGGCTCGAATTGCAGGCAGCATGTTCACATGGATGTCGGGAAATGACTGACCGCCCTGAGCTACAGATTAGCTGGCACCCTTACCGCTTTGCCGGCCACCAGGGCCGTAGGTCCGTTCTACACAGACGGACGCTACACCCAAGCTGCTCCCCGCAACATCACGTGCCAATGCATTTGATCGCATGATTAGGATCGATGACCTGGTTTGATCACACAACGGCAAGTTTTGCGACTTGTCGCAGCTTACGTTCCAGTCAACGCACTGGAATTTCAGAAAACCTTGGCATGGTTGCGAGGCTCTCTGTTTGTACCTTCATTGGGTGGCTGCTCCTTTGTCGTGGCTGCTGTTGCGCAGTTACGCGATTTGTGGCGCAAACTTATTCCTTAGGTTCGGCTAAAGAGGTTACGCACGAACCGAAGGGCAGTGGATGTGACCGGCCCTCCCCCTCCCCAGGTCATCTGTTTGGCCCTTGTGGCCGGCTGGGCGGCGGCCGACGTGTGCATGCCGCTCCTGGAGTGCAAGGAGCTGCTGGAGGAGGAGCCCATCGTGGACCCGTTCGCGGCCGGACGGCTCTGCACGCTCAGTGACGGCTCCGTTGGCGTGCTGTGCGGCTCTAGCGGCCTCATCAGCAGGTAAGCTCACGCTGGACTCCACGCGACCACTCTGCGCTCGCGTGATATGCTGCTAGCCTACCTTACTTTACGTGTGTCTAATTGGATAAGACCGGCCACAGGCTGTCCCCTCGGGCGTAGTATGAAAGCCCGAGCTCAGCGTGCATCAAACGAAGAATCCAACGTTTCTTGGAAGAGGTTTGCGCCATGCTCAGTGCCCACGACAAGTCAGACTTCGGTCATGCCCAGGAGACATGTCAGTATCCCCAACAACGTTACAGCTCTTCCTGTGTAACCAGACTCGTCTCGCCGCTTGACGAGCACGGTGTTGGTGCACGACACGATGTGTTTCTGACGAGCACGATGTGTTTTTCACGGGCTGCAGGTTCGGCGGACCGCAGGCGGCGGCGCCCTCTCCGAGCATCTTTTTCCCTGGCGAGATCACCGGCAGCAAGGGCGTGTTTGACTTGCGGCCCCTGAAGAACCGCCTCAAGGACCGACAGGAGCTGGTGATCAGCAACCTTGTGCAGGTACGGCTCGCCGCTGAGGGCTTTTGGTTTATATGCTTCGGCCGTTCTCAAGTCCTGTTCAAAGCTGCCGCCGTCATGAACTACTTGGGCTGTGGATTTTGCGGCCAGTGGTAAGCGATTGAACTCAGAAATATGCTACGGGCGCTGGAATGGTCCCCAGCGGTCCACCTTGCATGAGTCGGCTGTACATGTGAAGACAATACAGATCAGATTGGTGCTGGGTGATATGCATTGTTCTATTAAACCCTCGAGAGATTTTGAGGCCTTTGCGGTGGCTTTCACACAATGACGCAGGTCTTTTTTTCAACGCTAACTTTTCTCTATGCTTTTCAGAAGCTGTCAGTGGTAGCGGAAGCAAAGAAGAGACTAGAGGAGGTGGGGCGGGTGGTGAACCAGCTCGCTCAGAGAGGGGCCAACAGGGCTCGCGCCAGGTCACCAGAGAGCCTGCAGCTGTTGTTCTCGCGACCGCAGTCGAGTGAGGCTGAGCGGTCGGCAGAGGCATCGCTGCAGTCTGTTGAGGTACTGACGAAGCTGAAGGAGATGCGCGCCGTCGGCTCCAAGGCATTCAGCGCCGAGGCACCACTGTTCGGAGTGGGTCTGCAGGACCGCGCCAACTTCCCCGCCTTCCCCGTTCTCGGCGACGACAAGATTCCCGGCTGCGAGGTGCCCGCGCGCCCCAACTGTGCCGGATCAGGCAACTTCCGCACCTTCAATGGCGAATGCAACAACCAGGATGAGCCGCGGCTGGGGCGCGCGCAGACGGCCTTCTCGCGTTTCTTCCCGGCTGAGTACGAAGACGGCATATTCAAGCCGCGCTCGTCCGGCCTTGGCGGCCCGCTGCCGTCGGCACGGCTTGTCAGTCAGCGCGTGGCGAACACGTCCCCGCGCGACGACAACTTCCGCACGCTCTCCGTCATGCTGTTTGGCCAGTTCATCAACCACGACATGATTTCAACGGCGGCGTTCACGGTGCCGGGCGGCGGGGGACTGGCTTGTTGCAACAGTGACAACTCGTTCCCCGATGAGCCGCTGCACCCCATCGGCTGCAACCCGATCCGTGTGCCGGACGACGACCCCTTCTACTCGCAGTTCGGCCGCAAGTGCATGAGCCAGGTGCGCTCGCAACCGGCTCCGTTCGAGGACTGTATCGCCGGTCCGACCAACCAGCTGAACCAGGTGTCGCAGTTCCTGGACTCCTCCAACATCTACGGCAGCAGCAAGGAGCAGGCGGACCGGCTTCGTGCCTTCACCGGTGGCCTCATCAAGAGCAGCGACGGCAACCTCCTGCCGCAGGTTGGCGGCCGGTTCATCTCGGGTGAGGGCCGCCTAAGCGAGAACCCTGGGCTGGCCTTCATGCACACCATCTGGACACGCGAGCACAACCGCGTGGCAGCGGTGCTGGCGAAGAACCACCGAGACTGGGACGACGAGCGGCTGTTCCAGGAGGCGCGCCGCATTGTCAACGGCGAGTACCAGAACGTCGTCTACAACGAATACCTGCCCACTGTACTTGGCTTCAAGTACACGCGTGATCATGGTCTCGACCCAGCGTTCGGTCACTCCTTTGGCTACACGGGATCAGGTGGACCCGAGCGTTACGTCCGAGTTTTCAACAGCCGCCTTCCGCTTCGGACATTCACAGGTCAGTGCTTCCTCTCGAGCTCGTCTCCCTTCTAGAGGTTCGAGTTTCTGCAAGCCGGATCTGTTCTAGATACTCTCTGGTCATGTGTGCATTTTTGGAGCCCGGTCCGTTTCGGATGTCCCCATTTCAGTGCCCTGTCGCTGTCTGGCCACCGCCATTAGCTTGCTCTTCGGTTTTTATGCCACGGTCATAACCACGGCACCCACCCTTCCTTCAGTATATTTCGCTTTATTAGCAAATAATCACCTACACACGTCGCGTCATCACGGCCGCACATGCTGGCGGAACGTGCCATTTTGACCGAACGTCATCCGCTTCCACAGGTACAAGACTTGTTCATCCTACGCAGCGAGACAGGCCGCATCTTGAAGACGCTGGCCATGGAGGACACGTTCTTCCGTCCCGACCTACTCACCGGACCGGGTGTTATGGCGCAATTCGCGCGCGCACTGACGCGCCAGAAGCCGCGCTCGGTCGACAACACCTTCTCCGCCTCTGTGCACGAGAAGCTGTTTGCTCAGGGCGCGCCATCCGGGCTGGATCTGATCGCTCTCAACATCAACCGCGGTCGAGACCACGGCCTGCCGACCTACGTCACGGCGCTGGAGAACTGTCTGGAGCGCTCGCTCGACGGCGAGTGGTCTTCCCTGGCGCCGTTCTTCGATCCGAAAGTGCTGCAGAGCCTGCAATCGGTCTACGACAGCATCTATGACATCGACCTTTTCATCGGTGGTGTGGCCGAGAAGCGAAAGCCCGGTGCACTGGTCGGCGAGGTGTTCCAGTGCATCATCGGCGAGCAGTTCTTCGTCACCCGTTACGGGGACAGGTAAGGAGAAGATGAGAGGCATCCGTGGCTTATGGACTTTTGGATTGGATTGTAGTTCGATTCGTGTAGTTAAAGCTACACTGTTTGTCGTAGAGGTTAAAGCTCATTGGCAGAATTACGCAGTCTGCAATTTTATGTTCTTTTAGAACGAAGCTGCATCTTTGCGCCATCTAAATCGCTTTAGAGGCAATGAAGCATGCAACGGATCCGAGGTGTCATCGCCATAGATTACTTTTGATGGGCGCTTATTCCGCGTGGAACTTAAATCGACTTTTCAGATCCTCATCCCACTACATAAGTGATTTCCCTCAAGGGCCATCGGATCATAGAACCCTGTGCAGATAGATGAGCCGTCAAATGAATTCGCAGTCGCAGCAGCTCCTGACGACTATCGCTCCCGCAGGTTCTTCCACGACAACGGCGACATGCCCCACAGTCTGTCATTCCGGCAAGTACGCGAGATTCAGCAGTCAAGCTGGGCGCGTATCCTCTGCGACAACATCCAAGGCCTGCAGGCGGTACAGCCGTTGGCGCTGTGGCAACCCTCCGTCTTCTTTAACAGTTTGCGCGACTGCAATTCGTTCGCCATTCCCCGTGCCGATCTCAGCGTGTTCTAGGCGTGCGCACAACCTCCCCCCCCCCCCCCCTCCCCACCACCACCATCACCCAGCTCCATCGCCGGGTGGGTGCTGTCGGCGCCCCGGGTTTTCGTCTTGCTGCGCGACGTTGTGAGCTATGGCAAGTTCTCACAGCTTGGTGAATGCCGCGAGAGCCGTGGAGGAAGAGGGGCTGACAGTATGGGCGACTACTGACAGCTTAACGCTTGCGTTGCCTTCAACTTTATAAGCACATACCCGTCTGATGAATCTGCCATCACTGCAGCTGACCGGTTTTATCGAGGTCGCACCTTGTGACCCATTGGTTACTTGTATGTGATGTAATCGTGGAAATTGTGTGACATTCGTGACCAGGAGCTACCCATATCAACGACACCGTGGATAACGCACTGTTCGGCTAGCGCTCCCGCTAGCTAGCGCTAGCGCTTGTGTGCTCCTTCAGGGAGACCGCCTCTACGCCAGTGATTGGGTCGGGGAGCCGATTCCGTGAGCTCTGTTAATGAACGTGACGTAATCGCTGCCATATCAGTGTGTCAATTCAGGTGATCCGCTGCTGTCAGTTTCACGGACCTTGCGCGCGTCTTGTGTGAACCATGCTGCATGGCGAGGGGTAGGAGTCGTTCATAGTGGGGACGTAACCCTCCCTGGGCGACGAAGTTTGCGGTGGTTTTTGCTTAAGAGCGCATCGTTTCGCAGAGCGCAGTTCCCGGCACACTGACTTGAATGTTTTGGTGAGATACATGCGCTTTGACTATGTCTGTGAATGCAATCAAGGGTGCACGCAATCGTACGGCATCAGTGGTAACTGGTGTCGGTTTGTATTTTTTTGTGGGGGCCTTAGCCCCCCAATGTTGAGTTGAGTCCTCCCAGTGTTGGCTTGGATCCCTCAATATATTTGACTGGACCGCTGCAAAAAACGTAGGTAAGGGATGACCACAACAAAAAGGACTACCTTATTTAATGTTTCTGCGTAGCGGCGTCTCGTACTACTCTCATAACGTAAAGCCATGGATGTTCTCGCCGCCAGATACAAATCGTAACAGCTGAGTGGAAAAATGATGCAATAAACTTCACATACCCAGGGTCTAGACACGCGTTGGTTTGTAAGGTTAAAATGAAAAGCTCTGGAATGTGGGATGTCCTAATTCTTTCATGGCTAACCCCGTCCTCGTCCCCCACAACCAAAATACGAGCCGCCTCTCAAGGGCGCCATCGGCACCCTAAGGTGGCCTCTAAAGGGACGCCTTCACTTCCGATTAGGAGCGATGCGTGTGTCCAGTGCCGGCTCCCTGAATCCACTCCTGAATGACTTCTATGCTGCTTAAATTAAAGACTTATAAACTATGCAAAGAATAGCAGCAGATATTGCCTTTCACCACAATGAAGTAGGCTAAACCGGTGAGAAAAAGATGGGGGGATGGTAGGCTGTCAAGCTTTCGGTTCGCCGCCTCTTCCCCCCCCCCCCCCAATAATTTAAAAATCGATGCCCCTGTCAATGGTCATCTATGGAAGTAAACAGGTAGCGTCCATAACTTGATTTTCGAGGTCTTAATGAACGTCGCACCACAACATAAACGGGCCCTTGCCAAAAGAGAACCTGACATCCAGACCGCGCTATGTGAGCCTTCCGTAACTGTCGAGAACAGGCTGGGCAAAGTGACCACCAAAGCGCATGCGCACAGCTGACGTCAAGTACCGAACAGAGGGAATGGTCTCGTAAGAAAAAGGGGTGTTGCGTTTATAACATCAGCAGCATCAGCAGGGCCAAAGATTGTGTCAGTGCCAGCAAGGCCAAAGAAAGACGGGTTGTGAAATACCTTGACTGTGCGCTTGACGGCCGCAGCACCCGCACGATCTCCTACTAGAGCAGAAGGATGCGCAGGTGAAGGTTGTGCAGCATGGGCTCTATCATTGCGAGTCTAGCTGCCAATAATTCTTGGACTCAGTGATCATTGTTGCGGAGATATTAGTTCATCTCTATGACCAAAAGTGAAAGCAAGAGTGGAAGAGGTCGGCGAGAGGATCCCAATTCGTCCCAGACTCGGGGGCGTTCGTTGGATGGCCATGTGTATGCACAGCTTTCTTCAAGAGAGTCGGCATCATCAACGTCGGCTTTGCTCCTAGCGGTGAAACAATCAACTCCACAAGGTACGCGCCGGCACTGAAGATGGTGAGGGCCGGGACTGAACACAGTCATCTAAGCGAGGCTACATATTCTAGCTAAGCCTGTCCACACCAGGCAGCGTCCATCCCACACGTTACATGAGACAACGATGTTTGTTTTAGGAAACGTGGGGTATTCACGACCGGGCAGCCACCCTCTTCGCCTGGCCTGACCCCTGCTTACTTCTTCCTGTTCCTGAAACTCAAGAAGTAAATGGATGGAAAGCGTTACTTGACGCGGAGGGGCTGGAGCAGTACCTCATGTACCTCATTCTCGAGGGTGCCGGTAAAGAAGAGCTCGGCGCGGCGCAGAGAACATGGATGCAATAGCTTCGTATCGCGTGCGCCTTGGTAGTGAATTCTGTAGAGGCTACCGTGTGAAGTTGTGGAAACGCTTTAAGAAATTAGCTGATGTGCTTGGCGGACCGCTCGTAAAATTTTCATACCTAAGTTGTTCAGTGCATTAGCGGGGAATACATAACTGCATTCATCCCTTCTGCTAGTGTTTCGATGAAGGCATGTTTCCGAAATATCAACCCAACTATATCTCCGTTATCCTGGTTTGTCTCCAAGAAATAAGGCTAATACTACGGTCTGATCTAAGTGAATTTTGATACCGGTTAGTATCCACGAAAATCGGCTTACGCCTCCCGTGTGTTGTATGTCAAGGCCATTTCTAGCCAGACCTTGACAGCCACGCCGGATTATAAAAGCGTAACCCACAAAGGCACGCTATTATCTGCATCGCTTGGTAGTAGGGAACTGCTGCATCTTCCTTCTGTGTGGCAACCAGACAAGCGACAGGCAGCGGTAGAACATGCTCAAATGCCGCGGGAAAGGACCCCGAATGCATCAAAGGGCATTGATCAGTTGGAATAGCCTTAATCCTAGCGCTCAGGAAGGCCTGTTTAAGGAATCGGCAAGATTCGCCTTTAGCCGCTTATGACGCGCCAATAAAAAAGACAGAAACAAACAGATCAGGGCCGCGTAGGGGCTGCCGCTTATTTTGCCAAGATCCGTGAACCAGACAACATCTACCACGAATCGGTTGCCTGCGGGATCAATGACGACTGTATTTTGCTGTCGCGTGCCATTGGCGCAAGCATTTCTTTGCAGGCCAGGGCTGTCCTGTGAGCAAACGTAGGACTTACTTATTGCATGTCTGATATGAATTCTGATATGAATATTGCTCACTTATTGCATGTCTGATATGAATTCTGTTATCTTCTGATTGCGGAACATCATCTTCAATTGTAGCTTCAGGCTGCGGCGCGGCCAGCTAATAATTTCGATAAGTCGTTGGTCATCGGTGTTTTCGACCTTCATAAATTTCAAGCAAAGCATTCCTTCATTGTTGTATAAATGCTGTGCGAAGCCATCGTGACCAGGCTATGGAAACCCCGCATAAGCTGTGACGCTCTGTGCCAGCTAGAAACTTCTAAGACGCTGCGGTACCCTCGCGGTTGTTAAAAGGTTTCCCATATACAGACACGGCGCAGCCAATTGTGTTCAGAATCGGGCTCCTGGGGGATCTTTGCACTTCTGTGGACAACAGTGAGCATCGCTGTCTTATGTTGAGCCTCTCGGATGTCTCTAGCTCTATCGCATCGCTGTTTTTTCTGCAGCGGATGAGTAGTCTGTCCTGCAGCAGGGCGGGCTAATCCGGCCACGAACAATCCACAGCCAGCGAGCTAGAAGACCGATGGTTTGGGGTCTGACGGAGCGCTTGGTCAAACGCGGTGTCAGGGTCGACAGGGCTAGAGGAACGATGGCTCGGTCTGGCGGAACGCTCGGTCAGGCGCGGTGCGGTGTCAGGCTCGACGGAGCTAGAGGAACGATGCCTGTGGATCTGGCGGGGCGCTCGGTCAGGCGCGATGTCAGGTCGACAGAGCTGGCTACTTCATCAATGAATACGCGGAGACTGTGGGACTTACGGTGGTCTACGACAGGAGCGTGACTGGTGGTAGCCCTGAAACGACAGGAGCGTGACTGGTGGCAGCCCTGAAACGACAGGAGCGTGACTGGTGGTCAGCCCTGAAACGACAGGAGCGTGACTGGTGGCAGCCCGGAAACGACAGGAGCGTGACTGGGGGTAGCCCGGAAACGACAGGAGCGTGACTGGTGGTAGCCCTGAAACGACAGGAGCGTGACTGGTGGCAGCCCGGAAACGACAGGAGCGTGACTGGTGGTAGCCCTTAAACGACAGGAGCGTGACTGGTGGCAGCCCGGAAACGACAGGAGCGTGACTGGGGGTAGCCCGGAAACGCTTTCAGTGTGCCAAAACACCCTCTTATTTTTTATATTGCCAGAGCACTTTCATTTTCGAAAAGAAAACATCAGACATAAAGCAAACGGATCGAGGCCGTGTTCGGAAGCGCTTGTCATCAAGCGTTCCCTCTATCGAGTTCGAGGACAAGACAGTGTCAGTGGCCGCGTCCTGATCGGGGTCAGAGCTGAAAAAAATGGCCTCGCCCTTTTTTACACTTCACGCCCACGGCGGATAAGCGTCAAACCAAATAACCCAAACGCTGGGATGTGCGCGATTTAGCAAACGATATGAAAACGAGAAATGACGATTAGAAAAGCCCCTTGCGGACGCCGCAAGATCATACAGCAGCAAACGCATCAGTTCCATCTCCGGTTCCACGGTATCTGTTGATCGCGGTCACCGAGCGCTCTTCATAAAACGGGTCCAGGGACAGTAAGCCATGTTTAAACAGCCGCAGTTTCCAGAGCCTGAGTTCTCTGCAACGAGGCTGGGGCCGGCCCGGGCGCGACGGCCGCGGCCCAATCCAGCACACGTGCATCGCTGCATGTTCCGCACGTCGTGCAGGCGC